TTGTATTTCACGGTTTGACATTTAGTCTAAACTTGATTTAAGAGAACTAATGGTTAATTATACAATGTGATGAAACCTTGGCAGAAGTGGGGACTGTACCCTGAAATAAATAGTTTCCTGCTGAATGAGCTGAGCTCATTATAAGGGAAGGGTTCAGCCAGAAAACTCGGCCAAGGTCAGCCAAGGTCACAGTTAGAGGAGGTGTTCGCTAAGGGACAGCCACTGTCCCCCTATTCTGTGGGTCTGGCTCCAGCGTGGGTCCCCGTGATGAATTCTGCAGATTCTCACAATGCTTCATGCACACTCGTGCAAAAGTCCGTGTTCCTATCCGCCCAAAGTGACCAGAGATACACACAAGGAAAAAACCAGCAGCTCTGGGCCTCCCTTGTGGAGTCTTCACCAAGTTCATGGGAAATCAGTCTCATAACAGCAACTACTCAGGGACTTCCATTTTCACACACACCAAAGACATTTATCTTGGAATTCCATTCCCCGTTAACCTCTTGAAATTCTTGCATGGCAGCATCTCTTCTTGCCCAACGTTCTCTCTCTAGAACACCTAAGTAAAGCTGGCATCTGGTCTCCCTGCTTCAGGAGGCCCCTTTACATGAATCCAACAGTCACTACACTATCCTTTAGTATGCTGTCTCAAGCCTGGCTTCACCTCCCGCTTTCAGTGAAACAGGGTGACGAATTCTCCCACAGCGTTTGGCTGCAAATACACACATGTGCAGATGTAATCAACATTGTGTCACATAGGATGCTGCACTGTATAAAACTAATTCTGAACCTTGCCTTTTAACATACATATCCTGGGGCCCAGCGGAGTAGCCTCGCGGCTAAAGTCCTCGCCTTGCACATGCTGGGATCCCATGTGGGTGCCGGTTCATGTCCCAGTAGTCCCACTTCCCATCCAGCTCCCTGCTTGTCGGCTGTAAAGCAGTCAAGGACGGCCCAGGGCCTTGGGACCCTGCACCCATGTCTGGGAGACCCAGAAGTAGTTCCGGGCTCCTGGCTTAGGATCTGCTCAGCACCTGCTGTTGCAGACACTTGGGGAGTGAATCACTGGATGGAAGATCTTTCTGTCTCTCCTCCTCTCTGTATATCTGACTTTCCAAGAACAAAACAAAACAACAACAACAACAAAACCTCAACCTATCCTGGCCACTGCTCAGTCCCATCATATGCAGAACTTCCTAACTGCTATCCAGTAGGTTCCTCCTTCCAAGCCCACTCATTGCTTTTAAACATTTATTGATTTTTATGGCAAAGTCAGATATATATGCAGAGAAGGAGAGACACACCGACTCATCCCCTTGCCTGTCATCTACCTGTTCTCCATAATCAATGACAGTGTTCATCAAGTTGAAAATCTTACCCAGAATGATTCGGCATTGTAAAACTAGCAGTATCAGTAGATTATTTAGCAATTATTCAACCATTGCTTCTAAAATGCATGCATTTTCACGTACTGTTTTCAGGAACACAAGATGACATGTGCGCTGGAATTTTCATGGAGTCAGTCCATGGCAGCCAGCGTATTGTTATTGCAGTAACTTCCACAGACATCATCTTTGCTGGCCACTGCCTGGCACGGGTGAGGCCTCTGCAGAGCATCTGTGCGAGCTCCGTGTGCACAGCATCCTGCGTGCGCGTGCACAACTGCCTTATTCCTGGCTGTGTCTACATCGCAACGTGGAGATTAGGTATTAATGATGCCACAGATAGTGCAGTCACCATCAGTTCCAGCAGATGATAGAAGGCTCATTAAGCAGTGCTATTAAAAATTATTTTAAGATCATTGTGTATGTCTCAACACTTGCTTAAACTGTTACATGTTAGCTCTTCATATTTTTAAAAATGCTTTCCTGGATATTTAAAAACTTGATTAAATATACTACATCAAACTAAATTAGGAATTTGACAGATTTAGTACACAATGTGATGAAAAAAATTTCTGCCTTTTAATTTAAAACACCCATGTAAACTCTCCTGCCCTGTGTGTTTTCCTACAAACAGCAAGAATCAAAGCTACCATGGTTTCTAATGTAGCACAGTCTCAGGCACTGGAGTCAGCAGACTAGAGTGGGGACTGTTCAGCCCAAGTCGCTCTCTGAGAAGAAAGCTGCGAGAGGCACAGCAATCTGGCACGTGAGGCTGCTGCCTGCGGTGCTGGCCTCAGTCTGAGCACCTGTTTGTGTTCTGGCTGCTCTATTTTCAATGCCATTTCCTGCTCGTGTGCCTGGGTAAGCAGTGGGAGAAGACCCAGATGCTAGGACCCTGTCACCTTCATCTGGGCAGACCTGGATTAGGCTCCTGGCTTCAGTCTGGCCCAGACTGCTTCGGAAAATCTCTGTCCATTTCTCTCTCTAACTCTTCCCAATAAAAAAAGTATAGAAAGTGAAGAAACCTGCGGATAATAGTTTTTGTTTTTTGGTTTTTTTTTAGTAAAGAAAGAGCAAGCTTTGAGTTTATTCAATTCATGATTAGCATATATGGTATGTGGTTGCAGAACAAACTGTACAGAAACAGCCAAGACCCACATAATTCAATCACAAATAAATCTAAGAAAAAACAGAATTGGATTTTTAAAAAGCAAAGTCATGTATCTCTTACACCTTAAAACGTTAAATTTGTTTTTTTTTTCCTATATGGAAAAGGCTTACTTATTCCAAACGGAATGGTAATTTTTCAAAACTGTCTTAAGCTTTATGCATGCTTCATGTTAGCACTGGTTTTGTAATTCTTGGGGATCCGTTATCCCTTTGCCTAAGGCTGCTCTCTTTTCTGAGGAATCAGGGCTTTGCTACCCAGTGAATACAGCTCCAGGTTAGCACAGGACTCAGCCTTCGAGAGCTCAGGCACGCTGCTGCCTCCTTCACTGCCAGGGCCGTCAGTCCCACAGATTCCAAGCAATGCAAACTGAACTTCCCACATTCATTGTTCTCTCCGTCATTGTTGTTCCTATTCCTCCAGCAAAAAAGCACGTGGAGCACAACATGTCCAAGGTGCTCCACATGGCAGAGTCCGTGAAGCTGCAGAGGGCAGAAGCTAATGGGGTTCACAGGCTGGGTCTGCGTGACCCAGAAGTACTGCGAATGGTAAGTCCTGCAATAAGGGAAATGAAGACTACTAAGGGGAGGCGTGATGGATGCTGGCCAAAAAGAAAACGTAGATTAGGCAGAACGGCCATCAAACAAAGTGGCATCTACTTGAGACATCACAGGTTGAGTGCTAGTGAGTACAGAATGGGGAAATCAAGACGCTTCAGGTAGAGGGGTAGCGTGGGCCAAGGCAGGGCAATGCGGTCAGAGAAAGCCATAAGAAGCGGTGTGTGAGGGCCAACTGCCTGGAGCTGAGACCTCAGTTCAGGCTGGGGCTGCAAGGCTTAGTTCTGAAGGGCCCGGAGCATCCAGGCAAGGACTCAGGACCTTGTGCAAAGAGTGGATACTGATATAAAGGTGCACTGGAGATTTTACAACAAAGAAAAGCAACCTCAGGAAGCCATTTGGAAGTCTCTCTATCTTGAGTATCTGCATATAATGAAGAATATGCAAGAACGTACAAGACTTCCTCCACTAGAGAAAAGAGAAATGCGATGTACAGTTCTGTCTCCTGAATATTTCTTCCTTTTCATTATCCTGAATTCACACTGCCCACTGGAGAGAAGGCATCAACTTTCTTTGGTATTTCCAGAACTTCAGCATGGTGACCTTATCTCTCCTTTTTTTCCCTCTGGCCTCACCTGCCCAACCTCTACCCTAGAACGTCAGCCTCCTGAGTACAAATTACGTTAAAAGCATCGCACTTACTGTGAAGTGAGACAGTCAGCAGCAATTTGGGCAACGTGCAAATGTGTGAGTGCTCTTTTTAACAATAAAACAGCAAGGAATGTTTTATCGAACACTTTTGGGTCAAGAGATTCCAAGGCCTCCTGTTGGGGGACGTCTACCCCAGGAGTGTCATTAGGGAGAGTTCTCTAACTGCTCTTACCACTCTTCTCCCACTGTTAATGAGGCAACACTGTATCCTGAGGCTAGGACCTACCTCCTGTTCACTGTAGGCAGACCAGAGCTGGCCTAATGTCAGTGCATTTTATCAAGTTATTTCAGGCCATGGTCCTTCAACTGGTGGCTCTTGACCTGGAACCTGCTGCCATCCCCACTGACCCAGTTCCTCTGGGCACCATCGTTAAGATCTCCAGAGGTCCTGGCAGGGAGGTGCTGACACAGTGACGAGTCACTGCCCAGACCACCACTCTCCAGCAGATAAGCAACTCCAAGCTTTGCATATAGAATAAATCATCCTAAAACCTGCATAATGAGGCCTGGGCCTATTTCTCTGTCTCTGAGCTACTTTCAGCTTAACTGCAGAACTGACCCGGCTGAATGCTCAAGAAGAGAAATGGAACTGTAACTCGCCATGCCCTCATGCATCAAGGGACATCCCGTCCCATCTGCCCACGCTGAGGCAGAGGCCTGACGCGTGTCCAGTGATGGGTGACTCCTCCAATGACTGAGAAGCACTGCCTCATCTTTCCAAACAAACGGGAGCACACAACTGTATTTGGCTGTAATTTGAATATGCTCGAAACACAAAATGAAAGGTGTCAATTTCTTCTTTGTAATAACTATTTTTACTAGGATAAACAAACTCTGAGTAAATAGGATGGTGACTGCACCCATGATTCAGAGCAATACAAGAACCTTTAATTACTACATTCTGTCTCCAAAAGCAGATCTTAGAAATCTTTCTCATGCTTTTGTGTCTCTACCGCTGGGGCAAGAGAAACGTCTTCAGGAAGCCTTTCGTCTCAGAATGATTTCTGACAACACAAAAACCAATCCAGACAGCTTCTGACACTCAAGTCCCTGCAAAGCGCACCTGGGTCTATCAATATCTCAAACGACTCTTTGAGCCATTCTCCCACTGGTTGGATACTGGCTGCCATCTTCACCCGAAAGAAGCAGCGGACGGTGCCTTCCAGGCACAAGGCTTACCGATGCACCGAGAGCCATCTGTGGAGGTTATGTATCCACGTGGACACACACAAAAATAGCTTCCCACGGTGTTGGAGCATTCGCCCGTGTCACATATCCCGGGAATGACGCTGCACTCATCCACGTCTGATCAAGGGGAGGAGAAGAAGACGATGGAGAAAGGCTTTCAATAAACAGCTTTCAGAAGGGATTTTTTTAAGAAAAGAGTCGGGAGAGCACTCATGGTTGATTAAGTCAGATCATATAACCCAGAAGATACTCTTGTTTCAGGCCCGAAAGAATTTCTCACACATATCTATGGGAACTGACACAAAAGTAAACTCCCACGGCAGTAAAACCAAGGCCAACCAAAGCAAAACTATACCCTCCTCCCCCCGCATAATTTAAATTGGAAATGAGTATAGATGACAATGTTTTAGTTTCCACTCTGCATTAGCTAGGAAATTATCCTACTTCAGCCTTTTAAAAACAGACACAAGATTATCTTTTGAAGATGGGAAAACTTATTTGAAAATGGATACCTCATCTCCCCACTAACTACTTTAGCCAACTGAAAGTGACAAATAACATGTATTTCTCTTTTTCTATTTGGCTTTAGGATATGTTTTTGTACTTACATTTGCCATCTGGGAATAACTTTGAATCCAAAGTAATACAGAAACACGGCATAGGGGGACTCTGGTGGGCACTGGGGAGGTCCAGTTTTCCTGTAGAACCTCCCTGCACTTGGGCACTCAGCTGACCACTGCTGGGACTAGCCCACTTCCTTTCCCATTAATGAAATGTCTGCTTTCTTACAAATTCCCCCTAAAGCTGCAAACCTGACCGTTTCTGCAGAGAGAGGTGGACCTTTAAACAAAGTTACCATTAGGTGCACTGGGAGTTAATTACTAATATATTTGAAAGGAAATGAGCCCTTATGAGGAACATGTAGCCAGAGGTGCCCGGGAGGTCACAGGTTTTGATTGTTTTAAGAACAGAGGAAGCAATGACCAGCAAACACAGGAAGCAATTATAAGTCAAAACACGTAAATAACTGCTTAAAAACCAAGGGAAATTTAAGCTTTCAATTTCTTTCTTTTTAGTTGTATACATTCCTATAGAATCTATCAATAATAAGAAAAACAATTATATTCTTACTGTAAAGAGAAAAATTTTAAGTTCCACAGTTTAAAAAACGTATAGTATCAATGCATTTTTTTCTATTCCTCTATGGTCTATCCATTTTCCCCCCTCATTTATTCTGACAATTACCTCTTCTCTACAAGATGTATCAAGAGATGCTTGTGTATCTCCCTGGCACGTTCTCATATAAAAGCTACCACATTCTGACATTCTTTGAGCTGAAATAATATCTTCATTTGAGGTTTCACAGCTAGCCGCTACAGGCACGAAGGTACAAATCAAAACCCACCAGCGCCCCCGAAGATGGACGGACTACATGAGGAGCTAATACACAATGTGGTGCGAGAGTTACCAGCAGACTTAATCCAGCAAAATGAAACCATGTGTGTTAAATGAGGACCTGTTGCATTCTGCATTGCTCTCTCAGTACAGCACTCAGTGTTAGCGTAAGTGAACTAGGACTCAGAAAAGAGCTGAAAAACCAGAAAAGTTACACACAAATCGACAAATGCACTAATTAACCATGTCTGGAAAAAGAAGGCCAGAGAACTAATTGAATAAAAGAACAGTATAAAGTAGAGAAGGAGTAAGAATGTGAAGGACTCAATCTTACCTCCTTACTGTCATAATAGCAACAGTAACACCAACAATTCAGGTGCTGACAGAGCCCAGAGTTGATGCAGACTGTTAGAAATCATAATTAAGTTCATTGCAGTATAAAAAAAAATCTCTAGACAAGTTCCTTACGTAATAAAAAACTTCTTTCAGTCCTGAATATCCCAAAACAGCACAAAGAGCAAAAATTCAGATGTTTGGCACTTTCCTTGCAGAATAATAATACGGGTCATAGAAACGAGCACACAAAACAATATTACATTCATGCTTTTTTATGTTGAATACGTTGTTGTACAAAACCTCTAACTATGTATTTCATAATCCTTCTTAGAATTAAACAGGAACGTTAAAAAGTTACCTGTGAGATAATTACGCTTAAAAAAGCTCTCAGGGAGGGATTTAAGAACTATGCAGAAGAATGTTTTAAATTTACATTTGGGCTAGATGGTTCCTAGACTTTAATTTACATATTTAATGCTCTTAAAAGATCTGACCAGAACACCCTGCCTGTGCATACAGTCATGCCTTTCCTGGCCATCATCTTACATTCAGCATGAACACTTACGGTCACAAAAATGAATGCACTCAGCTATTTTATCTGTTTATTCTTTGAGACCATGTTACAGTCAGATTTGGAAGGAATATCTTCACCAAGAAAAAGCTTAGCAGGGAATTTCAAAAACTGCCTGGAAAACAGAACTAAAAGACACATTTAGTTTAGTACAAACAATGTTTTGAAATAATTTAAAAATTTTTACTTCTTTAAAGACTTATTCATTTTTACTAGAAAAGCAGATCAAGGGTTAGAGAGAAGGAGACACAGAGAGAAAGATCCCCCATGCACTGGTTCACTGCTCAAGTGGCCACAATGGCCAGAGCTGAGCGAATGGGAAGTCAGGAGCAGTGGCTTCTTCCTGGTCACCCACAGAGTGCAGGTTGGAATCAAGGGTTTGGACCATTCTCTATGGCTTTCCCAGGCCACAACAAAGGAGTTAAACGGCAAGTTGAACAGCCCAGACACAAACCAGTGCCCGTATGGGATCCTGGCACACAAAAGGCAAGGATTTAGCTTCTAGGCTATCATGCCAGGCTCCACACACCATTTTTTTTTAAAGACACATTTCTTGGTGAACTTTCAGAAGAATCCAAGTATACATGGATTTCAGAAATTTTCAAGTGCTTTCGTGTCTAACCCATGGATAAGAGGTGGCCTAATGTTACATGTACATTCATTCAAGTTCCATACAGCCAATGTGCCTATGTTTATATCTTTCTTTAAACTTGCTTAAAATATTCATGTGTATGCTGTGAAAGGAAGAGAAATTGGATCCGTAGAGTTCCCACATGTGGTTTACTCTCCAAACACCTGTGACAGCTGGCTGGTACTTGGACCAGGACAGGACCAGGCCAAAGTCATTGAGTCTTTCACTTGGGTGGCATGGACTGAAGAACTTGGATTATAATCTGTTGCCTCCCATGGTGGGTATTAGTAGGAAGCTAGAATTAGAAGCAGAGCTGGGACCAAAATCCAAGAACTGGTACACGGGATGCAGATGTTTCAAGCAGGGTCTTAACTACAGATCAAACACCCACCATCTTTAAAGTTCTTTTGAAACTTTATAAGCTTTCTGCTTTGATCTACAAATGTTAGAAAACTGATCCAATCTGACATTAGCCAGATTTTTTTTTTAATTGGAAGGGCAGATTTACAGAGAAAGGGAGAGACAGTGAGCTCTTCCAACCTTTGGGTCACTCCCCAAATGGCCACAGTAGCTGGAACTGAGCTGATCTGAAGCCAAGAGCCAGGAACCTCCTTCTCCTTGTCTCCCAGATGAGTGCAGGGTCCCAAGGCTTTGGGCCATCCTCCGCTGCTTTCCCAGGTACAAGCACAGGGTGCTGGATGGGAAATGGAACAGCTGGGACATAAACCTGCATCTATATGGGATCCTGACACCTGCATGCGGAGGATCAGCCAATTGAGCCAGTGCACCAGGCTCATTAACCAGAAATTCAATAATTGTAGTCCAGAGGTGGCAGAGATTTCTGGAATGGAGTTACGTCACTGCCCCTTGCTCACTTTCTTGCCATATACTCAGCCCTGTCTTTTGTGTTTTGATGGTATCTTGAAGCTGCCCTCTCTGAAGGGTGGCAACATGGCTTGCCATGAATAGAGTAGAAAGGCTTCATGAATGCTACTGGCCCTGTCTTACAGGAAGACAGTTTTCCCCTACAAGGTACCAGCATATCTCCTGTCCTGGTATTCTGACTTGAGTCCCAGGCCAGTTTGTAAGTGATTTCTCATCTAAAATGCTGTACTCCCTGGTACATCCTAGAGTTCTGAACAAGTGGAATGCAGGTGGATTGAGACCTACAACAGGATGGGAAAGTGAGGCTGAAAGCACAGCACAGGTGTGGATGGGGAAATAAATAAATGACATGCTTAGCAGGCTAGGCAGATGCCAAAGCCTGGGGATCTACTCTGAAGGCTTTTGTTGCAATGGAGAGTGATAGTGCCTATGGAAGTTTACATCAAAAACAACAATTAACAAGCAAATCAGAATCTGAAAATGCCGATCCTTGTGTTTAATGTGAAAAATGAAGTAAGAGTCCAGTGATACAATGCTGAGGATGTAAAGTAAGGCTTAATGAGAAGGAAGAAAACACAGAGACCATGCGGAGCGTTCATCAGTGGGACTGCACAGGAAGGGCATCTCCAACTTTGAGACTGATTGACAACGTGGTTGACGTAGGGGCTAGTAACAGACAATGGGATATGGGCAAAGATTTTGAGGGTGAGTCTGAGACATTTTGAACCTGAAATATTTAACAGAAATAGGTAAAACACAGGCAAAAACTTGGGTAGGAAACCCCAGCAATGAAACAATGTTTTAAAGATGGTTTTTTTGTGGTTCACCATTAGTTATATGGATGGTGGGTGTGGTTGCAGCAATAGGGGCGATTTTCAAAGCAGACAAGCTTGAACAAAGAGTTGAATTTAAGTAAGGCAAGACCTGAGAACCACCCATAACCAAGCGAATATCAGAGAAAGCCACTCCATCAAGAAGGCGGGGAAGAAAAAGCCAGGGAGGGGAGAGAAGTCTGAGGGCGGGTGTGAATGAAGGGGACCGCACAAGGGGTGGCTTGGCCAGAGAGCCTGGGTGGGGCAAAACGAACAGGCACGGGAAAGGCTTTGGCGACCCAAAGGGTTTCAAGACACATTTTTTAAAAAAAGAAAATTAGATCTAAACAAAACCATCTGACAGATTCCTGACTGCCAAACCGCATAACCTCCTATTTTGTCAACCGACATTTACAACATTCACTGTGAATCTCACTCTAAGCAAAGTAAGAGGAAAAACTGGGTAAGGAGAGCTGGTGTGATCTCA